CGAAAAGAGTAATGCTTGTTGGAACAGACCCTATTAGAGGTGGGTGTTTCTGGTAATTTTGAAAAACTCATAGAACAACTCAACGATGCATGGAATAAGAATTTTTCGTTCCATAGCAGTCTTATTCTTTTTAAAAGGAATCGTACTTGTTTAATAACAGGTCGGGAAATGAATGAAACATTTTATGTATGATGTTAAGCAATGTTCGAGCTTGAAATTGATAACATTTTAATTTATTTTGGTTCTTTTGCAAATTAGTCTCGCCAGTTACTTTTGTAGCAGTTATAGAAAAGTATCACTTACATTTGAATCAATGTTGTTATTCTTCTATTATACAAACATCTGTTAATTAAAAATCATATTTTATATGATTAAAGAAAACTAGTTAATATGAGTAAATAATTAAAAAACAGACAGAAATAAGACGTCAGGTTTTGTACCTTCAAAATTAAGTCAAATACAAAAATTAAATAAAATATAAAAAATCTTAGCTTACCGAAAAATATACGTATTTTATTTTCATGTAGGTTACTAGGAAAATTTATTTCTTATTGTAAAAAAAATAAACAACTATAAGAGAACTAGCTGATATGCCTGTCGTTGATGGGTGAATAGTTAAAATTTGAGAATGTTTTTTGAGATAGATTTTGCATTATAGAGGGAGATTGCAAATTTAATTTCATAAAATTGGATGGAAGGAAGGAATTGTTTTGATATTTTTTATGGCGGGGCTTATGGAAGTCAAGGTTTCGCAATAGTCATAATAAAAACTTTGTTATTCGGATATTTGTTTAGGTACCACATAACTAAACCGATAAACACCGATCCATTAAAATGTTTTAAGCGTTTAATTTTCATTTATGAGGAAGCGAGGAGATGGTGGAGTCGATTAAATTAATCAAAAAGAGTTGTACTCTCTCCACTTCCTTATTTGTATAAAAAAAAACAGGAAAGCAAAAATTTCTGAATGCGCTTTGCTGCTTTTTAAACATGTACATCCGTATAAAATTAGAACTTGATCTGAATATTGTGGCGGGCTGGGTGAAATTTTTGAGTTTTTTTCTTCCGATTCCTGGCAAATCCATTTCGTTAATCCTACAAATATATGCGACAACATTTTTTAGGCTCGTGAAGTTGAATCGAATGACACCTTGAACGGGAAGATCGGACAAAGTTGAAAAATTAGTGTGTTTTACCCGTGTTTAAGCGACAACGCGTTGCAGATGTTCGGGATTTCGGATTTTTCTCGTTGAGTTGTGATCATTTCTTCCATCAGTTGAGTAGTACAACTTTTAAATGTGGCTCGTGGTAGAGTAGGTTGCGATGGGAACCAAAGTAAGTAACTGCCTAACCGGGATCTTTAGACAAAATACTCAAGAATTCATAACTTTGTTTCTACTCAATATTTTCTTTCCATTTAAAGCCTGTATTTTAAGTCAAGCAAACCTAAATATAATGTAAAAATTTCAAAATTCTGTCAGCAGCCATTGCTGAGTTTACCACTGACAAAATTTCGTTGGACAATGCGGACATACTGACATACCAAAAAATTTTTAAAAGTGGATTTGGTGTCTGTAATGTATGAAACGGAAAGATATCATGAACGGGTTGATTCTATTCAATGTACAGACAACATTTTTATTTTATTTATATAGATATCTGGGTCAGAAATTTTGCTCGGAAAAGTGCTACGGCCAACTATACTTTATAAAAAATATACAAGACCCATTGAATGGAGATGGTAAAATCGTTGGAATATGAAAATTATAACATAATTGCAACGGAGAAATTTCAAAACAAGAGGATATAAGAATGGTATAGTGAAAGGAGATGCGAATGAAATAAATGGAACACAAACGGGCAGAGACAAATACCTTGTTGTACCCTTAAGTCTATAATTATTCCTGAGGAGCTTATTGTCTTCGTTATCCTTTCATTATTATAGCTCATTGTTCTGTTGTATCCTGTGTCCTGTATCCTGCATTATGCAACCGGATTAGGTCTCTTTCAATATAAAATATCCGGATAACTTAAGGAAGATTTCTCCTACATTTATTTTGCATTATTTGAATTTAAAAAATCTGGTGCGCGCAACACATAACTTTCACTTACAGATCTACTTTGAATAAAAATTATTTTCTGGCAATGCTGGGCTATTATATTGATAGGGAAAACGATTTCAAGATCTCGCATCATTTACACCTTTCGGGTTTAATTAAAATGTGATTGATTCTTGTTTTATTAAAACGAGATAATTTTATTTTGGGGGACCTCAGCACAAAAGTCCTCTACCTTACGGCTCCGCCAGGGCACCGCTCCACTTTTTACTTTCATCTACCTATATATGTAATATATAGTAAGGGCAAGTATTGCGATTGTGAAAATTTTCGAATCTCAGTTTTCAACGGAAATACATGTTTTGAGGGTCCCTGAGTTCAAATAACCAAGTGTCGCAAAATGGTCTGTGTTTGTGTGTGTTAACAGTCTAGCTCATAAACGAAAAATAGTACGAAACTGATATTAAGTATTAAATGTTTGGATATGGGCCGGATGGAACAGCAACTTTTTCGTTAAAATCGGCTTACCTGAAGTGCCAGTTTATATAAACGCTGAAACACATTTTTATAATTTTCTCGAAAAGGGCTCTAAAGATTTTATGTATATAATATTGTCGGAGTCCGTATTATATTTAGCTCATTTGCTGTAACATCCCAGGCATGTACAAACCTTAATTACGCAATTTCGGTTTCTTACGACTCTTCGTTTTTTAACAAGACTCATTCACACGCACTTGGTTATTTGGACTGAGAGGATCTCAAAGCGCATATTTCCGTCGAAAACTCGAATTTCAAAAATTGTACGATCGCAATACATTCATTTACTACATATTTCATATATTGGTAAGGGAAAGTAAAACAGAAACACAGATTTTACTGTTAAGAAGAATTTACATTTATTTTTTCTTGTATTTTTTATTTTTTCTAAAAGGGTTTATTTATATTTTACCATTGTACATAGTATAGTTTCTAGAGTTTTGTATATAGATATTATAAATATTTTTTTTATTTTATTTTTTTTTTTACTGATTTATCTTTATCTTTACTTTTTATGTTTGTTTTTATCTGGCCAGATGTAAAATTTTAATTTCTATACTTTTTTGTTATTCTGAAGGGACTTCTTCTCAGAATAAAATTATTTTCTATTCTATTCTATTCTGTATTATCTTTTATGAGAAAAAAAATCCCATTTATTAAAAATTAATATATCATTTTTATATGATATATAAATAAAATTATATATATATATATATATATATATATATATATATATATATATATATATATATATATATAATAATAATAAAACAAAGTAACGAGTTTAATGAAAAGTGCAGAAATAATAATACTGATAATAAGTTGGTGTGTATTATTTAAGCGAAAATATTCTTGGTTCTAGGTGGAACATGACCTCCCAAAAAAGAAAAGAAATATTTTGAAGTTAGAAATGGGGCGGGAATCAGGAGAAATGAAGACATTATCCAAAATATCCGAGAAACCCGAGAAACCTTTTAAGGCGTGTCGTTTTGCAAATATCAGGTGGTTTATACTAGACGTTATACTCGTCCGCCTTAACATGTATCGGGTGGCCTATCTGAGGAGTCTTTCGTGAACGATCATATAAGTTACTAGGTCTCTAAAATATCAACCTCTGGAATTTTAGTTGTATGCAGTTCATATGGGACAAATAATTTCCCAAACATATAGAAGTTATAATATAATAAAGAAATGTTTAAAAATGGCCAAGGAGTTTTTGTTTAATGTTAAATTTCAACAAAAAATATATGTGATAAGAAACAAACCCTATCCACACTTATATTATTATAGTAAGGCTCGAAATCGGTTTCGTACCAAATATAAGCTCCTGTCATGCTCAAATCCACACATATTACAGTAAGGCTCGAAATCGGTTTTCTACCAAATATAAGCTCCTGTCATGCTCAAATAACCTGAATGGGGTACCGTTGGATTCAGAATTTCACGGAGGGTTAGCGAATCGTATTCTCCACTTTTGTTTTTCTTTCTAAAATAGATAAAGTCGATACAAACATTTTGCTAAGCTTTGATACTGGAACGGTGGTAGGTCTGTAGATCGATACAAATTGGATCTTGAAGATTTTGATGCGTACAGCAAGACCCGGATCCTGCGTTTTTAAGCCCAAAAACTTTCCAAGTCTTCGAGATAACACAAGGCATAGGGTTCGCATCCACACAACTTTACGTTAATTGTAGTACTGTCATTGAATACATGTCTCATTGCGTCGACTTGAGGTCTCTATGATCGAGAGAGGAGGAGTTTATATGATTTAGTGATGGTGTTTTTGATCGGCAAGCCATATCACTGTTAATTTTTCTCCAAATCTCAAGATTGAGCCATCAATTTCGAAGGCTTCCTTCTCCTTCAGGCGGGTAACAACAGGCGTTATGAAAGAAAACAAACTTTATTTGCGAATAACTAAAAAATTACACACTTTTCCCTTGTTTGTGCCCATGATTATATAAAAAATTACTAAATTCCCTACAAAAGGAAAAAAAAATCATCTAAATCGGACAATTTTTAGCAAAAATACAGCTTACCGAAATTTGTAAACATATTGGTTCCAAACAAAAATGAAGATTTAAATGAATTTTTATCTTCTTTGTCGATTATATTTATCGATAAAGTAACAATTGATTTCTTTATCTTTGATACGTTGCATTATTTTCTTATTAATTTGGCATTTAATAACTATATGCTGTTCGAATTTTTCGCACGGGCCTCCTAGTTCTACTGAACTACAATGTAGATAATTAATATTACTTCATTGTATGAATGATAAAATTATAATTATAAATTTCATCTTTACTTATTTATTAATCATTCAGTTTAAATTTAATAATAATTCGTACTTCTGCACTTTACTTAAATATTCCTCCTCATATTTGCAAACTAAAAGGTAGAACATGTGGATATCCTATTTAAAGATCTCGCTAGAAGAGAGCGTTGACCCAAAGAGGTTAGCAATGCGGTAAGATGCCGGCCAAGTCAGATATTTGGAATGTGTGACGTAGTAGGATACCCTACTTAGACCCCGGCCGCTGGATCAGAGCTTCGGTTTCACTCTTAGCACGGAATGCACGCTCCTCCAAACAGATTATACAGAATCTCTTTGTTTCATTGTTACTCGCATCAAACTGGAGGATATACTGGAGAGAGGGCTGAAGCATTCAAAAAAATGAAAAAACAAAACAATCTATGATGTGCTTAAGACCACGCGATAGAAGTGATAAATTCAACAAAGCGGACTTAATAATATGAAATATAAATATCTTTTTCGTTCTATATTCAAAAAGTAAAAAAATTTACAATATCTACAATTATACTTGTTTTTAAATTACTCTAGTAAACTTTTCTCCGGCTGATGAGTCATTATGCAGGTCCGATTTTTAGTTTCTGAGGTATTTTAATAAATATCTTTCATAAAACTCGTTATAATTTGATTTACGAACCTTTTTTTTTTGCGTCGCGTTAAGATACAATTTTGAATAATAGCCCATTACAGAAAGGATGAAATGATGAACAATCCCCTCGCTTACAGTACGCATGTCAGATTTTTGAAATATTTTAATCCCTATGCAAAAACACTTTAATTAGTCGACTCCGACCGCCTTTGCCAGAGCGTTACACATTGCAAATCTTACGGTTCAATCTAATTCATTCTTTACAAAAAAGTGTAAAACGCGCCTAAAGAACTTTTCACTTCCAACAATTTTTTTTTAATTCATTCATTGGCTCATTATATTCATTGTACGCGTGTGAACAGCATATCTAGCTAAAAACGGAGAGTCATACGAAACTGAAATTGGGTATTTGCGCAAATATAATACGGACAATATTATAGACCTTAAACATATGTGGTTTTCATAAATGCTATCGTTTGTATTATTTAATATTTAATTGTATAGATAATAGCGATATACAATTTAAAATTTATATATATATACCAGTATTTAAACAAATAAAAATAAGCACAATGAAGCATAAATAAATGTAGCGGCCTTCTTTATCAGTGGCATTCTTGTCAGAAATATTATTATATATTATTAAAAAATAATATTCGTTGCAGTTAATTATTAATTATAATAAAATAAATAATTAGATTATTTAGTTAGCATTTGTAGAAGGTAATATGTAGTAATATGTAATATAATAATAATATGTAAACAAAATAGATATAATACACTAGTAGATGGCTATAAGAAACATATAGAGTTAATTATTTTAAATTATGTTTCATACTGTCTATAATTTAAATTTTCACTTCCCTTTTTCTGAATATACTTATTTCTGCGAGGAAGAGGATGGTAAGTGAAAATTGTGTGAAGCACTGCACCAGATTTTTACAATTATTTTTATGTTAGGGAAAGAGAAATTATTCAATTATACGTACCTATGTTATTCTGTATTGTAGTCATTCTGAGGGGCTAAATGCCCCAGAATTAAAATTTACTTTCCTTTTTTCTAAATGTTTTTATACTTATTGAATTCCTACTCCTTGCGTTTATGCTCAGAAATGTATTATGGATTGATTATCTTTCTATAATAATTTATTTTATTATATTGTATAATTTTAAATTAACCTATTGTGTCCTATCAGTTAATAATGATCCAATGATTGCATCCCAAACTCTCCAATCACACATCATAAACCTCGAAGAATGGTGTCAAAATTGGAGGATTAATCCGAATATCCTAAATAAATTCCGATAAAGCCCGTCAAATCACCTTTACCCTTCGTCGTGAACCTATGGCTTCCTGCCCTACAGTATTCTTTAACAATACCTCGCTTATCCCTATTGAACAAATCCGGTACCTTGGACTCCACTTGGACAAACGTCCGACGACAAGAAACCGCTCGACGCTTCAGACTACTCCAGCACTTACTAGACAAACGCATTAAGCTTCCACTTAATTACAAAATACTCATATACATGACTACAATAAGACCTATCTGGACATACGGAGTTGAGATTTGGGGATCCACAAATCCATCGAATTCCTCACGCATTCGATCCTTACAATCCAAAATCCTTCGTAAAATCCTCAACGCTCCGTCCTTTGTCACTAATAAAATCATCCATGAAGACCTTAATGTTCCTTATATTTCCGAATTGGCCCAATCCAGGTACCTATCCTTCCATAATAAACTTCAGAACCATCCGAACCCTCTCGTTTCTAACCTTGCTTCCCAAATCCCATACCTAGGACTCTACCTGGACAAACGACTCACTTGGACCCCCCCCCCCTTCCAGACTGAAACGACTAGAAACCGCCCGACGTTTTCGACTACTGTAGCACTTACTAGACAAACGCTCTAAACTTTCAATCAATTACAAACAACTCATATATATGACAATAATAAGACTTATTTGGACTTACGGAATTGAGCTTTGTGGCTCCACTAAAGCATCGAATTCCTCTCGTATCCAATCCTTACAATCCAAAATCCTTCATAAAATCCTCAACGCTCCTTACGTTGACACTGATAAAATCATCCATAAAAACCTTAATGTTCCTTATATTTCCGAATTGGCCAAATCCAGATACCTATCTTCCATAATAAACTTCAGAACCATCCGAACCCTCTCGTTTCTAACATTCCTTCCTATTCAATCCCTGATAACCCTCCGAGGCGCCTGAAAAGAAGGTGGCCACGAGATCTTCTATTGTAAATGCATTTTTTTTTTTTAGACTGTTATCAGTGGGTAGTTTCTTAACAAGTGTTTTCATATTTTTATTTTCTGTTATCACCACATTTACTTAATGTATTCATTCTTAATACAGTTGTAAATATCAAAATTTTTTTTTAAAAAAATAACCTATTATGTTGCAGACGAACCTCTGTAAATTGGTCCTCCTGGCAGGATTGTGCAGCGCAGTGGCGGCCATCACAGTGAGAAGACAACCACCGATGAGGCAGATCCACAGGTTCGGCTCAGTGCCGCAGGTTATCAGGGTCCGAGGGGGCCCGGTGAAGAGGATCTACGTGCCGATGAACGTGATGCCCCAGAGGTACGGCCCCTCGTACGAGCCGGCCCACTGGAAGCCCAAGCCCGTGGTCAAGATGTACCAGCACGGGCCTCAGGCACCGAACAGGATCCTCCCGCAGGCCTGGCCTGTAAGTACCCGCCGAATTGTACTTATTTAGTTTATAGTTAGTCGTCTGTATAATAACCTACTTGATTGTATGAAATAGAAGCTTTCATCACCGAGCATGCTAGAACGTCCTCCCTGCAAAACCATTCTCGAGTTTAGCGGTGCCGTGGCAGAATCCGGTGCCTAGATTAAATTGATTTCGTCACGGACCCCAGGAATGACCCTAGACCTTGGTACTCTGGTTAGAATAATAAGGGGACCCTACACGGTCATTCGGAATTGCATTCCGAGGCACTAATGACGTTCCGAATTATCGTGTAAGGTAATAAATGAAGAACTGATGGAGCGGTCTGGCGGATTTCCGAGCATCCGGAAATCAAAGGTTCATTCACGAGAATTGGAGGGGGGACTGAGGTAAAAGTATTGGAGAGACTAACCATACTGCTGGATAGGTAAGGTTACCTAGGCCTTACAATCGTTATAAATTCCTGATTTTCATTACAAGTAAATAGTTGAATAGTTTTTCATATCGCTTGTTTACATTTTATAAACCATCTTCAACTATTTCTCGTAAATGGTCAATTGGGCAACAAATCAAAAAAAAAAAAATGGAAACTTCACAATTTACTTAAAGAAAAAAATAATCTTTAACTGTTGTGTTTATTTGTCAGTTCTTTTCCTATTTTCCTCAACAAATTTATTATTTTCGCAGTACCTTTCCTTAATTTTTGTAAGTAGTAGACTTATATTTTACTAACTTTTGTCAAAACGATTTTCTATGAGACTAACCTTACTACTAGATAGGTTAGTTTACCTAGGACTCATTTTAAGTAAATAATTTCATTAAAATAAATAGTTGTTTATATCCTTAGTTTATATTTGTATAAACAATTTTAAACTATTTTTCTTTAAATAGTCAAGTAGACAATAAATTGAAAAAAAAAAGTGCAAATTTAACAATTAAAAATCCTTAACTGTTGTGTTTATTTGTCATTAATTTTTACAATTTTCGCAATACTTTTCCTAAATTTTTGTAAGCAGTAGACTTATATTTTTCCATTTTTCTTAACAAATTGATTATTTTCGCAATATTTTTTCTAAATTTTTGTAAGAAGTTGACTTATATTTTTCTAATTAAGCTTATCTATGCTATTTCTTTGTTTACAACTGAGCTAAATTAGCGTCAGCAATAATAAGTAATGATCAGTAATGATTGAACGCATAAGGGTCTTCGTGATCAAAGCGATCTCTAGCAATCTTGGCCATTCTTGTGACATTCATTCACGAATGATTGTGTAATGTCCCCTATAGGTTTGGTTGTACCTATGAAATCAGGGTTTGAAATCGATAATTATTTTTCCACAAAATCATGTAATAAATATTATATTTGATTTTTAATTTAAAAATCATGCCTGATTTATAAATTAAAATAAACCTTTAATGTTTATTGATTCGATTAAAAATAATTATCACTCACTGAGTGATACGGTTTTCCATCAGTAATAAGGATTTAATTATTCCAAAAAATTTTTATAGCAAAATAAAAATTACCTTTTACACACAAATTAATATATTAATATGCATGCATACGTTATTAGTGTACACATTATTATTATATTACAAAAATGGCTTTAATTGTGCACGCGGTATCTGCACTATATGTTCCTGTGTGTTCTGTTGCTAATAGTTGACCACAATCTTCTCTACCTACTACGCCAGATTCAAAATATATCATACAGATTATAAAAAAAATAATATTTCTAATTCAAAAAATCTGGTGCGCGCAACACAACGTCCACTTACCGCTCAACTTTGAATAGAAATTATTTTCTAATCATATTGGGCTATTATAAAATTTATGAATTGCATTTTTAGCTGAGCTAAAGCTAAAAAATTGCAGCTAACAAATTATAAATACTATTAAAATAACAAAAGTCCTATTTATTATATCACCGGGTTGATTATGGATTGTACGATTCGTTGATTATCGATTGTACGATCCGTTGATTATGAATCGTACGACTATTATCTATTAAACTGTTACTTTCCATTGAAAAGTTTCCAAAAACAGAATTAAGAAATTTGCATTGTCTGTCATAGACAGGTTAAAAGTTGTCACAGTGATTGTAAGTGGATTCTAATGGAATATCGCAAAGGGAATATTTATCAAATTATTCACTAATTTAATTTTCTAAGAGGTTACATAGTGATTTTTCGGAATAAACGTTGATACCTAATTATTTAAATATATCAGATCTATAATCACCAAATTACAGTAAATGTATTTAAGGTTATAAACATATGCTTTATACATCCATGAAATGATTTTATATCTTACTTCTTCTTTCCCACAAGTACAATGAAACAGTTTTTTTTAACAATGCCATTGCCTTGATTAGGTTAATTTTAAATACTTTCTACAAACGCAAAAATATTTTTTAAAGTTTACATTTAGTTAGTAAATTTCATTTAATTTAATTTCCTTGATTTATTTTATTTATTGTACATAGGGTGTGAATGTGATCTGTGAACACTATTATAAATGTCCTTGAGACAGATTGTAATATTTTTCAATAAAAAAATAAATAAAAAATTTCCTTGAAAACATATAATTTACGTTAAATATTATTAGTTTTCAAAAATTATTATTTATAATTATTTTGCCTCTCTCCATTACCTTCTATAACTTTCTATATTAGATATTGTTTTTTTCTAAAATTCCCTGCTTTGCAACGATATATTATACGCATACTTTCTGGCTAGTATTATTTCCTGAGATTCGTTTTCGACCTGGATAAGCATTTTTATTTATTTCTCCTTTATTCAATTATCAAATTCATTCAAAAGTTATATTTAGCATTTTTTTGTAAGTTTTGATAATGAGAAATAGTTTATTATTTGAAATGAACCATATTAAAGGTAGTTTAGAGAAAGACGCATATGAACATTGGGCATTTAAGCCCTGTAAAGTGACATCAACGGGGATAAAATCTAAATGATATTAGAGACTAATTATACAATAATACACCGAGTTTAATCAAAATCGTTAGAGGCGTTTTTGAGAAAATTGTAAAAATGTGTTTCAGCGTTGATATAAAGTGGCACTTCCGGTTAGCCGATTTTAAGGAAAAAGTTGTTAGGACATCTAAGGCATATACCTATCTTAAATACGTAATATCAGTTTCGTACGACTTTTCGTTTTCGACCTAGAATGTTCACATACACACAGACCATTTTTCGGGACTTGGTTATTTGGACTCAGGGTACCTCAAAACGTGTATTTCTGTTGAAAACTCAGACTCGAAAATTTTAAAGGTCGCAATACTTACCGTTACTATATATTACATATATAGGTAAGAGAAAGTAAAAAGTATTACCCAAAATTTATTATTATTGTGATTGTAAAAAAATTTGTTCAAAAATAATGATCTAGATATGTTTCTTATAACTTATGATCAAAAATAAAAATCACTCATAATAATCAATTTTTTTTTTTTAATTCCAGATAAAAATTTTGATCATATTTTATTTTTATTTTTTAAATTATGGATTTCAAATCCTTTCTAGAACAATTCTTAACAAAACCCCTCCCTCTGCATGCCAGCATATGTGGCTAGGTAGGGAGTAAACGAAAAAGGTTGAGTGAAATAAATTAAAGTTCTTATTTATTTATTTTACTTATTAACTGTGAAGATTGGAATAGCACAGTGAAGCATTATTGTACTGATGATTATGTTTTGTTTTTTTTAACTAATATAAAATCTGACTTTTTAATTATTATTTGTTCTTAAATAGAAATTTATAATGTCTATAAATTTACAGAGTAATAGAGCAAAAAGTAGTGGGGATTAAGATAGACTAACATAACGTAACCTAAATATAAACAATCATTTAGCATACGCGTTCTATCCCTACCCTAAAAGCCTGTGGGCATCATCGAAATCATTACCAAATCTAGTCTTAACCTTACTAAAACCAATCTTCAAGTGATAGAATGTTATATTATTCAATAAATAATTTTTTTTAAATATATAAATGTAAAATCTTAATTGTTATTATTTAATGATGTATCAATAATACTCCTTTATTTCACTGAACACTCTTAAGATCTTATGTTTTTCAAAGTATCGTTCAATCAAAAAATGTTCAAATAAGATAATCACGTGACGTATTTGGCCTCAGGCCGATCGTGAACTATAACAAGTGTTTTTCATTGGACAATCAGGTCCCAGGGTTCAACAACTGACACAATATTAACTTTGCGTAGTAAGGTGTCATGGCGTCGGTTATGAAAAAGCGAGGAGACGAGAGTGAAGTAGCGGCACCATCCATCAAAGCTAAAACAAACATGACAACCTGTCCCCGAATATCGGCAATATTAGCAGCCATTGGTCGAAGCGGGAATTTTAAATTACTCAAGAGGGGAGCTTTGATGGGTCGCGGTATTTAGTTTGATAGATAACTATCTTTTAATATTGAGGAAAAGAGAAATATTTGCATTAAGAGGGAAAAATATTATATATTTTTCTTCCCTCCTGGGTTATTTGTGCTCTTGTATGCAATACGTCGGTAAGACGAAAATATGTCGCTTCCAAAGATCTTCCAGAAGAGAGTCACCCATGTTCACGTTACCACAGACCATGGTCTACATAGGCACTAGTGTCTAGAGCGGACATTACACGATCAGTCATGAATGAGAGTTACAAGACTGACAAAGATTGCTCCAATCATGATGAACCCTACACGTTCAATCATTAATGACCATTTTAGCTCAGTTGACATTGAGATAACAGCCTGCATGGATCTGGTGCATTGTCCACTTTAATAATGTTTTTAATTTTATAGGATCCAACACTGTCATCACCACCTAAGCCGATGACACGCGTATCCTATCAGTTAATAACGATCTATCTATTGCATCCCGAACTCTTCAATCACACATCACAAGTCTTGAAAAATGGTGTCAAAACTGAAGGATTAAAATAAATTCCAATAAATCCCATCAAATTACCTTCACTCTTCATCGTAAACCTATGACTTCCTGTCCTACAGTATCCTTCAACAATAGCCATCTTATCCCTGTCGAACAAATCCGATACTTAGGACTCCACCTAGACAAACGACTCACTTGGAACCCCCATACCAGACTGAAACGACTAAAAACCGCCCGACGTTTTCGATTACTGCAGCACTTACTAGATAAACGCTCTAAACTTTCAATCAATTACAAACGATTCATATATATGACAATAATAAGACCTATTTGGGCTTACGGAATTGAGCTTTGGGGATCCACAAAACCATCGAATTCCTCTCATATCCAATCCAAAATCCTTCGTAAAATCCTCAACGCTCCTTACTTTGTCACAAATAAAATCATCTGTAAAGACCTTAATGTTCTATATGTTTCCGATTTGGTCCAATCCAGATACCTATCCTTCCATAACAAACTGCAGAACCATCCGAACCCTCTCCTTTCAAACCTTGCTTCCTACTCGATCCCTGATAACCCTCCGAGGAGTCTGAAAAGAAGATGGCCTCGGGACCTTCTAATATAGAACTTTAATTTGAGTTCTACCAATGGGTAGTTTCTCTTTATGTTGTACATGTCACATTTACTTGTTGTATTTCATGTAATACAGTTGTAAATTTCATTAAAATAAATAAAAAAATTTAATAGGTTCATTTAGACATTATACTTTATAGAATTGGACATCAAGAGGAAAATCGAGTTATAATAATTACTTCCTAGTGCCTGAAAATGATTTTGACAAAAGTTAGAGAAATATAAGTTAACTACTTACAAAATTTAAGGAAAAGTATTGCGAAAATAATAAATTTGTTGAGAAAAGGAAATGACAAATATACATTACAGTTAAAGCTTTTTTTTTTCTATAAATAAATTGTGTAAGTTGTAAGTTTTCATTTTTTTTTTCTTAATTTATTGTCCACTTGACTATTTATTATTATACTTAACTTAATATCTACAAATTAGTATAAAACCTTTATGGACTTACAGGATAGAGGTACGGGGCATTGCGAAAAAGTTTAATATCCATAAAATTCAAACTTTTCAGTCAACATTTTTATTGCAGACGCACCTTCAATACTTTTCTTCTTCTTGTTTATTCTTAAATGAACCCATTAGGCCAAACAGTTAATTCCAACAGGAACCATTCCAACCATACGTCCCATCTCGAAGACTATTAAGGCCGTGGCCAAGATACACTATAATATAAATTCACTTATCATGACAGATTAAATACTTATTTTAATAAATAATGATAAATAGTTGTTCTTCTATTGTGATAAAAGTTATTTATTCCTTTTTATTATAATATAATTATTTTGTTGTATTGAAGGGTCCAATGAGGAAGGCGAGGAACCCGAAGCCCAAGTTGAGCAGGAAACCGGTCTACAAGTACCCTCCCAAGACAGCGCCCGCCTTCGACAGCTACAGGCCCCAGTCAGCCTACCACGCCCCACCTGCACTGATCGACTCCTACAGCCCGCAGAAGACCTCCTACAAGCTGACCGCTCCGACCTACGGCAAGCCTCACCCCGCGGGATCCCCGGAGCCGCCGAAGGACAAGTCCTCCGAAGAGCCCCCGACCAGCTACATGCACGTCTACCAAGGAGAGAAGGCCACCAAGGAGGGTAAGCCGACCTACGGCTACACCCAGAGCCACACCACCTACGAAGACACCTCCAAGTCTTCCCCTTCCAAGACCACCAACCACAGACCCGTCTACAAGCCCAAAGCCGACACGACCGAAGAACCGAAGCAGGGATCCTTCCAGCCGCCGAAGCAGACCTTCGGGTTCACCCCCTACGAAGACAGCATCAAGGAGTCCTCGGAGAACTACCCTCCCAGCTATTACAAGAAGCAGCCCGACACTGTCCTCGGCCCCAACTACTTCGACCAAAACAAACCTTGAGCTCCGCGAGTGTAGGCTCCTTCAAGCGTGTATAGACTTGTTCAATTTGACGTGACTGTTCCTTCTTCGTGATTGTCAATCTTTGTGTACCTTTGGATGAGTGTTATTTAATTTAAGTGTAATTCTTTGTTTTGTGTTTATTTTTATATGTCGTGTTTGAACTTATTTATGCTAATAAATTATTTATTTTGTAAGAATCAAATATTATATTTCAAAGCCCTGAAGTCCCATAATTATTGAATATAAAAAATAATATTATTTTACAAACAATGAAGAAAAAAATCCTATATTACTCCATTCACAGAGTGTTTACTAACCAGCGGATCTGATTACAATAAAAAGCACCATAGAAAAAACAGGGATGAAGAGAATTGCCCAAGAGGTTCAATTAAAATCAGGGCTAGTAAAAGAAAGGAAAAAAAACTTTTATTTTGATAAAATTTTGGGATTTTTATTGTTGATAGTTATCCAGTCCTTTTGGAACTAGAACTTTTTCCTTTCAAAGGTTTAATGAATTTCATTTACATTCTAATACGTCATAGTAGAATTGCTAAATTCTTTATAAACCTGATATTTCAACCCGTCCTATCTCTTGTTCACTACATATGGTGAAAAATCTCTCTCTCTCTCTTATATTTGACAAATAATAATAATATAACCTCAGAAGCTCACTTCTTGCCATTGGGATGCTTCCTAAATAAATAAGTGGTTGTTTAATAATAAACAAAATTATAAGAGAATTAATATATTTATTTATCTCAGGTGTGGATTACTGACAATCAGATCAACTCAGAAAAACTATTATTATTTACACTATTTATACTAAGATTAAACACTGATTTTAATATAAAGTCGAATATCAATTGGCAAGCTAACCTTTTTTCTATACCCACTGCTGCTTCCTTTGTTGCACTAAATTCATTTGTCTTCTAACATTTTTCTATGTTCTGCCAAACACAACTTTCAAAATGGTAATACTATTACTGGGTTTTACCCACTGGAGCCAGGATCTCTTCTCTTATCCTTTCTTCACTGCAGTCACACAACAACTAGTCGCCAAAACAAAAACCTTCGTCCCTCTCCTCTTTGGGATTTTCCTTCTTGGAAAACTACAGAGCAGCCATTTTCTTTTCTCTGCACTAGTAGAACTACATTAGATTGCCTTTTAATTGTAAAACATTAATTTATTAAACCTTTTTTACTCACTTCCAATTAAGGTGTACATTATAATGGACATGACACATGTGTGCTATGTATAAATAGCAACTAAACCATTGCATCCCAAACTCTGTAGTACACATTATATCAATTGAAAAATGGTATCGAAATAAAATTTCATTTTTTTTTTTTTTTTTTTACAGTGCTTATGGGGAGATAATCTAATCTAAACCTTGCATACATTTTTATCAAAATTTTAATTTAGTATACAAAACCTAGGGGGAGGGGGAGAAGGGTGCATAAGTTGTTTGGTCTGAAAGTAGTTGATGCATTTTATGAGTATTCGGTCTTGTCAACAAGACCGAATACTCACATTAAAAAAGATAAAGATTTTAAACAATTTGTATCATCCAGATATATCATATCATAGGTGATAAATATTCAGGACGCAGTCATTATAATGTTTTATTGATGCCCCATGAGGGACGTCCCAATAGATATATCATAGTATATTCAAAAATAATTAATGGAACCTAAATTGGAATATTTGTATAGATATATAAATTGAAATATGTCCATGCTTGAAAATAAAACTATTTCTTCAAGTAAAGAAATAATTATTAAATTTAAATTATAATAAACTCCTAAAACACAAAAGTCCACCAATATAATTTTATCATTTTTAAGGGAATTTCATCCAGTAATGCATAGTTGTTTTTGAGCAAATGAAGATAGTAGCGTAAGTAATGACAATGCAGGGCATTGGATAGCTGAGCCTTTTGGGAGTGCAATGCATAAATAGATGTAGAAGGAAACGTTGAAACTAATTAATATATTTTACTAATTGAATTAGTGTAATGAATGAGAGAGTTGAGAAAAAATATAACGAGAAAAGGATAAGGATAATTTTGGTTATTTTTCTAGAGGGGAGGGGCACACAGAAAAATTTCCAATAGAACCTCAGTCATCCTCCATAATTTGAAGAGATTTTAGATAAAGATCTTTTTCCACTTATGTATTACAACTTAGAAATTATATTTACTTTTTATATTTTAAAAAAAATATAAACAGATTAGGAAAATCTTAATGCCAATACTTATGGTATCATTCAATTCTCCAAACATTTTAGGACGAATGAATAAATTTTCAAGAATTTATTTCAATAAATACTAATTTACTTAGAGAAGCCAAGCTACAAACATACTAGTTCCAGCTCAAATTTTTTTCCAAAAAAATTCAAATCTGAAACTGCTTATTATAAGTAGATAAAATTTGACATTTTTTTCTTATGTGTATTCACTTCCTAAATATATAAATTTTCATTAAAAACTGTACTGGGTGCCCGGACTCGCCCCTGTATGATATGGAAAGGAATGACCCATGGTCTTTATTCCATTTAATAAAGTAGAATTTTTATTTATTAAGAAGTAAAGTACTAATATTAAAAAATATTCTTTATAGTTTGTGTGGATTCAAGATTTTTTTCAAAATTCACATGTTCTAGATGAATTATTGTAATATGATAATTTATAATTTCCATATTTCTTAATTCTATTAAGTTTTATGTGAACACTTTATATGTAAAATAAGAATATGGCAATTTTTATGAATTAAAACTGTAACATAGAAGCATTGTACGCAAAAGTGGTGTTAGTAATTTTTATGATAATTAATTAATTAAGTAGTAAATGCATTATCTGATTGGATATGCTAGAGACAGATTATTTTTAACACAGAAATTGGCTTTCTTTATTATTAATTTGTTGAATTTCTTCATAAGTGTTGATTAATTCAAAACTTCAGTTTTTTAGTTACACCATTTTAGCATTCAATGGCTCATGTAGTGTACTATAGGAATATCCTTGTATTTAAGAGGATTTTCCTAATACATTTTTAAAGAGATTAATTATGATGTATTAAAGATTTTCTTTAAATGATAGTTATGTAATGATCAAAGATCAACAATACATCCGAATGAGGTTGTTACCTACCTCAGCATTAAGATTTGAAAAAAGTTCAATATAATACCTCATGTGGACTATTTGAAAAGTAGTAGGAATCCTAGCTCTTAACAGATTCAGTTGTATAAGGGGCACCTTTTGGGAACTCAGAAGCCCAGAAACTGTGAGCATTTATAAAGGTGTTATTTGCAGTACCATTAGGTATGGATCCCCTGCCTGGAGCCAAAATCTCTCTCACAGACAAAATGGCTCTACTTCAAGTTGCCATATCGTACAGGACGGTGTCCATAGTACCTCAAAGTGAGAATAGAAGAAGATCCTAGGAATTAGGAGGATTATCTGGGAGGATACAGTAGAAGAGTGGTAGTGGCGGTGGTTGACGACTCCAAAAGGGGCAAATCTGAATGCATTATCCCACCGTCGGATGGTGACTAGAAGCAATTTGGGTCCTCCCGGACTAATATAGCTCTCTCCCTTTCTGAATACCATCGGTTTAGACTTTTCCCGATTAAATGTAAATTCCATTATTCACAATAGTTTTATAAATCTATAATCATAGGTTGAAGTCTAACTGGAATAAAAGCAATGAAGGCTTAAGTGCATACCAACCTAATGCTATGGTATCACTCCTCCTTCAATACAATCCTCTATATCATTTATGTACCTACTGAAAAGAAATAGACTAACATTTTATTTATTTTTTTTTTTTTTTTTTAATCTGTCTCAAAGAACATTTATAATAGTGTTCAAAGATCAAATTCACACTCTATGTACAATAAATAAAGTAAATTATACAGAAAAATAATGTATATACAATAAATAAGAATAAAATAGCCTAAAAATAAATAAATAAAAAGAACACATATATACCTATATACAGACTAACATTAAATTGGTTATTTGTGAAATGACAAAAGTGATATTTTTAAGATAAAAATGTATGGATAAATAAACCATCTTTACATTAGTTATGTATGAAATGAAATGAAAAATAATTTTATTTTAGGACTGAAGTCTTCTTAGAATAATAGTAGAATTTAAAAAATATGTACATTAGTCTGGCATGTAAGTATCATACAAATATATACAAATCATACAAACAAAAAAATTTAATGTGTTGTCTGTTACTAAAATATGCTTCTGCGAACAATGCACCCTGAACAGCTCTCAACTCAAAAGTGATGTAAAATGCACATGTGTCATTTCTGAAATAACATATTCAATTATCCCCTTATAATAATAATAATAATAACATTTTATTGTGTCATATACAATTTTACTATTTACAATAGTACATATTATTCCCTTACTATATCCCAAATAATATTTCAAAGTCAGCCGATCTTTATAGGCACTCCACTTCTTTTCAAGGTTTAGACTCATTATTATTTTAACTATTTTGATGGATACTCCTGAGTGTTACAATTTGTAATATAGTTCCTAGTAGTGAACTATACATTTGCAGATAGTGAAATATATGAAAAAAAATATACTTAATCTCTTTCTTCTGCAAATTGAAGATAATAATAATAAGTAAGCATTTAATAGAATAATATTTACTAAATGCTGCCTATATTCTTTAACTAGTTATTGGCTATTGTTTAGTAAGCCAATAATTTAACTATTGGGTTTTCTGACTTGATACCTATGTAATTTTAGGATTATTCTTATCCTCTGCTTTATGAACAGAGAATATAATGGATTATTAAAAGTTATTAGGTATTTCTCCCATTTCTAAGACGTTGTTAATAGAATTGTGTAGTTGTTTTTAAGTAAAATATTGTTGTTTTTTTATAAATTAATTTTTAATATCTTATAACATTGTTATTAATTATTTATTTTATATATTTTAACAACGATACTGAATAATAATACTGAACAAATGAACGATCTGATACCAGAAATGAAATAGCAACTGACAGTTAAAAATTAAATGTAAATGAAATTAATGACTGGAAAATCATGATGGAGGGAGAGTCGCGGGGTTTTCAAAAATATTTATGTAGAGGAAGTAGTAACGGCTCTTTTGAAAATTGCCAAAGATTAACTTGAAGTGCACTACGGTGAGAAGCCGGGGGAATTTCAAAAAGTAGGATAAAGAGGAAGAATAGTGGGAGCAACAACTAATAAGAAGTTCCCCTCCATGAAAGGCGGGTAATCTAATCCAACCATGATAGTTAATGAACTATCATTAAGAATAAGCGTCTAATCCCAACCCTGAAAGACTGCGGACATCGCTGTAATCATTACTCATTATAGACAGAGAGTAAACACAATTTAAATTTGTAAAGTAAATGGAGGTATAACTACCCTGAGGTTATAATGAGGTTAGCTTATGCCCCTAAAGCCGATGGAACAGCTGATACATCGGTGATTCATCGATGAATGGAAGAACGCGCTCAATTCGTATCAATCGAAAAGTTTATTTAGGAACGCCCTCACGGATTCCCGGTGTTTATCGATGAGCTCGGCGCTGAATTTAACAACTTGTCCTTTACTAGGATTAGTTGTGCAAAATGTTTTGCCAAATCTTTTTACTTTCAATTTTTCTATCTCTTTGGTTTGGTTTAGTTCGGCTCCTACAGAGCGTGCATGGAAAGTTACGCTATGCTTAACTTTGTCATTTCACCTGTCAAACATAAACAAACTGGATTTGAATTCTTGCTCCATTGTTCCATCTCATAATTTAGCCTATTTCTTATTATATTTACAAGGCTTTAAATGAATCATAATAATGTAAGGGGTGTAGGTTAGTCGTCTGTTTAGTTTGGAATTGTTAAAACTAATATCTATTTTAAGAATACTTCTAACCATGTTGAACCAAAACACTGTTGATGCTTTAAGATCTGCGTCCTACGTCGAAAATTATTTAGATTGTGTAGAAAACCTTCCTGAAGACATCCAGAGATATCTTTCCAGGCTACATGAATTGGATATCACCTACAGAAGTAAGACCAGATTTTTATAAATAATATTTATTTTGTCTATTCTTCTTATTTTTAATCTCATATGTGCATCTTTTATAGATTTTATGAAAGATGCTGAAAATTTCAAAGAAACTTTACAAAGGGAGGATTTAGAACTCAATGTTCAAAGGAAGACTCTTTTCAAATTGGAACAGATCCTCATTGCTCTTCAAGAAGTTGGTGATGAAAAAGTTGAAATTGGGCAGCATATACTTGATTTAATTGATAACAAATATCGAGCTTTGGATCAAGATCTGAGGGACCTTGGAGCAGCAGGTAGGAAAATTTGTTTGGAATTTTTTGTTACTCCTCATGATGTATGTCCTGAGGTTTTACTTGAAATGAAAATCCAATTAATACATTCCCTTCTCCAGGAACTTTACTTTATTATTAGATTAGCTTTCATTGTTATCAAGCAGTCATAAATAATTATTTTCTTAAGCTATTCCAATTTTGTAACTGAATTATTGGCCTCACTATTTTGTTTATTTGTATTGTTTCTTTGTGGTCTTAGATTTCACATTTTAAAGTATTTTAATACCATTGTACCTATTATATGTTGTGTTAACAGCAGTTTTAATTGACAAAACTTAAGTTGTTGGTATTCTGTTTATCCTGTTGGTGTAGTAATATCTTATCAGTTTATTCTATTTCTTTGCCATATGTTTGTTTATATTATTAATCCTTATCTTTCATTTCATTCTATTCTATCAGTATAAACCATTTCTTATGAAAATTATATTTATTGTTTTGAATTATTTTTCTTATAACTATCCATATATTATATGATTAGTTTGTGATTGTTAAGAAATGCCCCCTAAATTAAATAAACCCCTTTATTTTTAGGATTGTACTTCAGACTTAAACAGATTATAAGTGGTAATAAAATGTTTATTTGTTTTGTATTTATCTTAGAGACATTTTTTTATATTGTTGAGATAAATTTCTATTTATCATTATATTTTGTTGATGAAATGCATTGGAAAAAGAAAACATTGCTAGGATGGTTTAGTGATAGTTTGTTTTCGGCAGCTTCTACATCCAAAGACACTGAAGAATCTGAACCAGGTTCCCCTTTTTAATATATTTTGTATAACATCATTGTTGAACAGTTTTCGTGTCCATCTTAATAAAAATATTTTTTAAAAAATAAATTAAAATTTCAACTATTTTAACAAAATAATCTTATTCAATCATATATTGCTTTGCAAGTTTTAATTTTTAATTAGTTAGTTTATTTGCTATTTCTTAAGTTATTATTTTTCAAAAAGTGTCTTTTCCACATGAGCTGAATACATGTTTCCATTTTTCTTATTGTGTTTTTATTAGTTTTAAATTAAATAAAAAGCAATACTGTCATATAATAGTTTATACAGTACAATAATCAATGCAAGAAAACAATAATCATTCTAAATATTTATATGAATTATCAAATTAATACAGAATTATTTTTATTATAATTATCAGGGATATGTTATTATTTTAATCAAAAGTCAGGTTCATATGCTATACTATAAAAAAAAATATACATATTTTTAATTTAAAAAGAAAGCAGTTCTCATTAAAAAATCTGATTTTTGTTTTTAATACCAATCAGAAGAGAAAAAATACAAAATCTGTTGAGTGCTTCAACTCAACAAGTCATTTAAATTATAATAACTCGATTAGTTTTGTATTTCAATAAATTTTGCTTTGTTTGGTAGTTATTAGAATGGTTTTAATTCAAATACTTGTAAATAATGGGACGTATTTAAAGATATGATAAAAATGGTATTTGCCAGATAGATGCCACAACACATTCAAAAGTTGGTTTCAGGTATTTTCCAGAGACCCATTTTATTTTTTGTTGCCTCTATACTGCAGGGCCATTGGCAGTACCTCCGAATTAATCTCTATTATTGAATTTCATTGCTTTTAGTAATGCTTATGTTTTTTAACTGCTCTTTCCCTGTCCTTTAAATTTTCTTTTAGACTTGGTGCCATATCCAAATTTTCCCTGATAGTTTTCAGTGTAGGGCAGTCTCGTAAAATGTGTTTGAACATTACAGCTCTCACAGGTCGGAGGATCAAGTCCTCTTAGCAGGTAGGCGTGCGAGTACTCACAATGTCCAATTCTTAATCTGCAGAGGGCTGTCTCTTCTTTCCTGGAACAGAGGTTTCTCACTTCTAACAGTGGGTTTTTATTTCCTTCAATTTTGACTCTTTTTGTTCCCATTCGTTTCGCTACATTTTCCATATTAATTTGTACAATTAAAAATTGACTAATCTAGTATAAATTTGATTTTATAATCATAATTTGTTCGTTTTTATTTTATTTGTTGTTTTAAAAACAATATTACCATATATGAACATTTCTTTACATTTTTAATTGTATTTTTCTTATTTCCCTTCGGTTGATTGATTTGAGAAATCTCATAAGTCAAGTATATTTGAATACCACAATCACTTTAATTATTGGTCAGTCAGACCATTTTTTGCCAAAAATTCTGACCCTATGATTATGGTTTATTAAATCACTGATTCACATAATTTCTTCTATTTTATAAATATTCTTAGCCACAATTAGTACATTCATTCTATTAATGATTATTCCTTATTTTAGATTTACACAAAGAGGAAGAGAACGCGGAGAGTGGAACTGGCAGTACTGGGAAAGAAAGCAGCAGGTCTGAACCCGTGAACCCAGCTCCTAACTCGGCTACGAGCGAAAGGTCCAAGAGATCGAGAAGAAATCGTGGTGAAGATTCCAGCGGACCCGCTCTTCCACCTGAAAATGAATCTCATAAGAAGCGACAGAGTGGGGGTGCCGCTACAAAGAAGAAAAAGAGGAAGTCTCGTTCGAGCAATAACGCGAGAGATGACTCGCCTCCTAGAGAGGAAGACATCATTAATGCAGTATGTATCTTCTCTATTAGTATTTATAATTAAGGTTTATTGTACAGTAATCTTGGTGGTGGATCAGATCCTTCATTTCATGTTAACCCAAATTTTGTTTGACATGAACAAGTTCTCCACATTCAATTTAATATACATGATAAAAATAAAGTAAAGATACTTGTTAAACTGTGATCCTTTTGTCTTGATATTCTTTATTTTCATCTCTAATATTTCAGCCATTATCAAGAAGAGCCTTGTTATAATAATGATAATCTATCTCCTATATCAATATGGTCCGTGCAGAACCCTGACCTCCACAATCCTTCTCAACTCCATCCTGTTCCCAGCTATCCTCATTCAAGCATCCTCAGATCCGCTTCCACATCTTCCAGCCTTGGTCTGCTTCGCGCAACCTGGGTCTTTCTCTCTTTCTGCTTCTCCTTGGATGTACCACCATAATCATCTTGGGAATTCTACTTTCTTTCATTCTGTTTACTTGGCCCCACCATCTTAACCTACCTTTCTTAATTTTGGAGGCATCAGTTGAGCTATATAAGTACATCAACTCCTGCTTTGTTCGCACCCTCCACTGATCTCCTTCTCAGACGGGGCCATATATCCTGCTCAGAATCTTTCTTTTCTACTTCTTCAGCAGTCTTTCATTTATCTAAGTTCGGTTCATGTTCCACTTCCATACTGTACAACACGTGTTGACCTGTAACTCGTACCTTCAGAGCTCTTGATAGATCCTTGTCCAGAAAAATATTTTTAGATACCAATATTACCAGCCACTATTCTCTCTATTTCATTATTTTTTGAGTTGTCATATAACTGCTTTTAAAGACATTAATCTCCAGGCCTACATTTTAATTTGTAATAATTATTATTGAAATACAGATATAGTAAATATTTGATGGCAAATGAAGCAATAACGACTTAAGCAAATTAACCTGAATAATTTTTAATTGTAATAAGGTTCTCCTCGATAATTGTCTTATGGACTTAAACATTTGAGATGTAAATAAAGAAAGTTAAGACAAAATGATAAATTAAAATTTATTACTAATGAGAATCAAGTCTTAAACAATTATATTAAAATATTCTAGTGATTTTTCAGTTAAAATTTATTTTTGAGTATTAATAAATTATTATATCATTTAAATTTTTCATGGATAACAGTGCTGTTAAAACTTGAATTATACAGAAAAAAGAAAAATTCAAGTTAGAAATTAGCAAGAATTATTTATCTGATATCTGGTATTACAGGCAAAATTTTCACATTACCGTTGCTTAAGATTGTTTGAACCATTTTAATCAAGTAGTCTGCAATACAGACCCGGTTTTATCAAATTATTAACACCTGCCTGAAAGTTTGTCAATGGCTTTATCTTATTACAACCTCTTTTTTTTATTTATGAAAATTTTCAGAAACAGGCGGGAGTTTCCAATCTTGAGATCGCTAAACTTTGTCTAATTAATGAGATGCTAAAAACTCAGCAACGTCCATTTGCTTCCCAATATTACCCTCCAGCTTGCCAATGTCAGTAGGATCTAAAACATTGCCTTCAAGATTAAAAGATTCGAGAAACAGAGAAAAATAAGTTCATTGTCGCAAGCTCTAGATGATAGTGTTAATTTTATAGGATCAATAAATTTAAAAAATGCTCATATATTAGTACAATTTTTAAACATAATAAAAGTTATGCTTAGTAAAGCCTATTATTCTCATTTGAATTTTATAAAACTACTAAGTTACTTTAGTTGTAAACTATTAAGTCTTTTTTAAATTCAAGTTTTATATTACTATTAAGTTATATTCAAAATATTATTTTGCAGTTCAGATCCAACTTTAATTCATTTTTCATTGCTAATTTAAGTTGTATATCAACAAAGTAGTATTTTCTTTGACGATTCTCAAGGCAAAAACAAATTAATTTACTGAGTTCATGGTAATGAGAGATTAGTGTATAATAATATATATATATTGGATGTAATACATGGATAATTATACAAATAATATTTAGATTGTTAATATAATGCATATAATTATAATTACGTAATGTTTTTTAATTTTAGGTTCAGGCGGATATTGATGAACCTACTTACTGCTTGTGCGATCAGATCTCTTACGGAGAGATGATTCTGTGTGATAATGACCTCTGCCCGATCGAATGGTTTCACTTTGTATGTGTATCGCTCACCACCAAACCAAAGGGTAAGTGGTTTTGCCCTAAGTGCAGAGGCGATCGACCGAATGTAATGAAGCCGAAATCACAATTTTTGAAAGAACTCGAAAGGTACAATAAAGAAAAAGAAGAGAAGTCTTAGTTTTAGTCACTGTACGAGAGTATGTAGATTTGGAAAAAAGAAAACGAGAAAAAAAAAACGAAGACGAGCTGAACTAATGGAATTTGTGACTGAAAAGAAATATTTTTCAAATTTTCATTCTTATATTTATTTTAAATGTATAGTGTTGGGAGATAGATTGGTATATGAAATAGGTACTAAAGTACTAATACCGTTATTGTTATAGTTTTGACCATGCAGTTATATTTAACAGTTCAAAATTAATTTTATTTTTTGATTCACTTTAAAAAAAAAAATTAAATAAAAGATTATGTGACATGTAAAAATCAAATCTTTCTGCTCAAGTTGCATTTATTCTTTATGAAAATTCCAAATTTGAAAATATTTAACTTTATAAAATGGATCGATACCATTCTATGAAATGATTCATTAAATAAAATGTACTAATAATATTTTTAAAAATTTGGAATTTTATGAAATTTCATGGTTTCATCAGCTGTTTGATGTTTGATACATAATTTTGTTTTGTTTTTATTTATTATTTACAATTGTGTATTTGAAATGAATGTAGAGGGGTACTTAGCAATAATAATGTTTCTGAGGTTGTAAATTTTTATCTTGTAAACATCCTTTACAATATCGATAGCCACCCTGAAAAGCCTCAAATCCATAAAAATTAAAACATACTGAAGACAAAAATAATTATTTTTTTAATGGTGTGGAGATAGTTGACCATGATTATAGTTTTAGGAGTTGGTCAGGACTGCAGTAAATATATAATACTATATATTATAATATATCATTTGCCAACATTTCGACCTACATTGCAGGTCTTTAGCAGGGCTACAATCTATAAATATTAATAAGAGCAAGGTAAAAAAATAAATAAATTATGATATATATAATGGACTATACAAAAATAAAAGTTAATTTAGCATGTAAGTTAAAATATAAACAATGTGATAAAATAACATATCAGTTGATATTAAACTAGTAAGTGCAGGTTACAAGATAAAGAAGCTGAAGATAAAGAAATTGAAGAACTTACAACAAACTGTTATCTTAGTTCATCAATTTCTTTATCTGTTATCCTTCAGTTTCTTGATCTTGTAATCTGCAGTTACCAGATGCAACCTCTACTAGTTTAATAAAAACTGATATTTTATCACACCTTTGTTTACGTTTTAACTTCTAAATTCACTTTCAGTTTTGTATAGTCTTTTGTATATATATATATTGGGTTGGCAAATAAGTCCTTTCGGTTTTTATGCCACTATGATACACTTCTTATCTCAAGAATTAATCTCTAAGGTGGATTGTTTATCCTGTTGGTAATATGTCAACAACTATATTTGTTCATTCATTATCGGCATATTTTGTTGTATTATTTTAAAAAAGGTAAGCGTGCTGCAGAAGCTCATAGAAAAATATGCAGTGTTGATGGGGATGATGACTTAACCGAACGCACCTGTCAAAATTGGTTTGCCAAATTTCATTCAGAAAATTTAGACATCAATGATACTCAACCATCTGGTCGCGTAATCTGTGTAAAAAAAAAAATAAATTTGTAAGTATAACCTGTTAAGTGATAAGAAATATTATTTAAGTTATTAAGTGTCTACTCTTTAAAGACTTGTCCAGGAGTAATATTATAGACAACATGGAGGGAGATGAAAGGGAAGAAGGGGACCCTCCAAGGGTTTCACGTTCAACCGCAAAAAGGGCGAGAAAGGTTTCTCTTGGTGATAACACAGAAGCTTCTGAGGTAGGAATCTCAAATGACTTCCTTCAAAAAGCAAAGATAATTCAAGAAAACCTCCGAATATACCTTACTAAAGCTGACAAAAGTATTAAAAATAAAGACCAAAACCACATTAATGGCAAAATACAGTGGTTCATTGACGCTATTGAATCGTTGGAGGAAAGGACAAAGATAAGAGTGAGGGCTTATCTTTACTTGTCCATAAAGCGGTTCAGGAAACACTTACCTCGCCTTCAGTACATTCGATGATAACCAGCATCGTAATAGAGAAAACAGTGCCGAAGGTTATAGAATCTCTCTCAGGAACCACTATAAAATCTAATGGTGCCCTCGCCATCCCTGGAAAAAGCAACGAAAAGTCATCCGCGACTAACGTGACCCCGCCTGAGCCTTTACCAGCCGCAGTTCCTTTTACAGTCGTTAAGAGCAAAAGAAGCAGGAAAAAGACTAAAAAGTCTACCGGTCCCGAAAGCCTACAAACTGAAAATGAAACGCATAAGACAGAGGCGGAATCTTTGACTGGGTCCGGTCCAAATCAGCCGAAGTCATTGGCCGAAATAGTACGAAAATTGCCTTTAAAACCTACTCAGTCCCTCAAGCCGGCGTTTATTACTATTAGCGGTACCGGTAAGAGTCCGGTGGACATTATCAATGCCCTGCCTTCCCCCACAGAAATAGGTGTTAAGGCTGAAATTGTTCGAGCAACCAAAGGTGGTTCCGTTTTAGTCCGATTAGAAGACAGTACCCATGCCACTAAAATAATTGGTTGGCAGGGATTACGGGAGAAAGGTTTTCAGGCAAAACTAGCACAAAGAAAGAAACCTAAGATTGAGGTGAGGGGTGTCCCTCACTCGTGGGGCTCAGCTGAATTAACGAGATTTTTGTGGGGAAGAATAAACGAGAAGTCAGTCCCTACTACACTCATTAATGATGATATACGGCCATTATTATCCTCAGTATCTAGGAATGGACTAAGTAGGAACTGGGTACTCGAAGTTCACCCAATGGTGAGGTTCCAGCTGTTGGAAATGGCAGCTTTAGATGGAGGATGGTGGTCCATGACGTTTAAGGATTACCTCGACGCCACTCGTTGCACAAAGTGCCAAGGCTATGGACACACGAAGGCTACCTGTACGGTGGATACCGTTGTATGCATATGGTGTGCAGCCAATGGACACATACTCAAGGACTGTCCAAGGAAGAAGGAACAAACTGGCCCGACTTGTATTAACTGTGTGCGGGCGAGTGCACCGCAAAGCCAAACGAAGCATAAAGCGGGCAGCCGAGAGTGCCCTGTACACTTAAGATGGTCAAATGAGGTGGCTAAGAGGACCTACTATGAATAATATCACCATTCTCCAGCTCAACATGGGCCGTCGTCGCATTGTAGCGGATGAGTTGAGGGCTCTTGTTGGACGATATGATGTTATGGCGATTCAAGAACCGAGCTGCCGTGGGAACATGGTCACGGGGTTTGGCCTCACATCGAGGGTTATAGCCCTGAGCAGTGGAGAGAGGAGGCCCAGGGCAGCTATAGTGGTAAATAACCCAAACCTCGATGTGATGGATCTGAGGCAGTTTACCACGGCGGATTGTGTCGCATGTTATATCAAATGGGGTAATATTACCTTTACGTTGGTTTCATCATATTTTCCTGACGGAGGTGATATAGACAACGACATATCCGCCATGGAGATGATCACGGCTTGCTATAGAAACATCATCATCTGCTCAGATACCAACTCCTGGAACACGGTCTGGGGATCCAATCAAACGAATAGAAGAGGCGTTAAACTCGGAGAATTCATTGGCCGAAGGCAGCTAGTGGTAATGAATGATCCCTCTGCCTTGCCAACGTTTTCTAGCGCTCGAGGGCAGAGCTGGATTGATGTAACACTGGCATCACCGGTGCTAGCGAGTCGCATCAACGATTGGATCCTCCGATCTGAGACGAGTTCCGACCACCAAGCGATAGCTTTTAAGCTGGTGGAAAATATGGAACGTTCCCACGGCATCGCTATGGGTTATTTAACCCGAAGGGCAAATTGGAAAGCCTTCCGGTCAACGCTGGAGGAAAAATTAGTAGATGAAGAATGGGATGAAGCGGAGACGGACCAGACAGATAGTCTAGATTATAGGGTCTCTAGGATCACAGATGTCATCCGTGACGCCGCTGAGGAATCCCTCCAGCAACGGAAGGTGAGAGCTCGACCTATCCCATGGTGGACGCCGGCCTTAACTGCTATGAAGAGAGAGCTCTACAAGGCCCGGCGGTCCTATCAAAAGTGTGGTAGTGAGGAGAGGCGCGCCACACTTCGCGACGAGTATAGGTCCAAGTCCAGAACATACCGAAACGAAGTGCGCTCTCGAAAAAGGAAGTCTTGGGACGAGTTCATTATTGAAGAATCGTCCAAAAACCCCTGGGGTATCCCTTACAGAGTTGCCTTGGGTAAGTTAAATCCACAACAGGTAATAGCCGCATTGAAACGCGGAGCTACTCAGGCAACCACTCTGGAGGAGACGGCAAAAACGTTCATTGCGGAAACCTACCCCAGGGATGATCCGTCCCAAGATAATGAAGAGGAGAGATACATTAGACGCACTACGGTATGCCCACCAGGTACGGACCTATGCCCACCATGGGACATATGGGATCTCCGTGCTGCCGTGGATAGGCAAAGGACTGGTCGAGCTCCTGGCTTGGATTCGATAGACACAGCAATACTAAGGAATAGTATCCCCTACATTGAACAAAGGCTGTTAGCATTGTTCAATGATTGCCTAGACAGGGGTTACTTCCCTAAAATATGGAAGATTGCTGATGTTAGACTCCTTTATAAGGGAGGAGATAAGGACAAGCAGTTAGCGAAGTCATATAGGCCTATATGTCTCCTTCCTATAATGAGTAAATTGTTGGAGACCTTGCTGATGAGGAGTCTACGACCAGTCTTCTTAAGAGCTAGCCATCCACGACAGTACGGATGCACTAAAGGTAGGGGAACCGCAGATGCTCTGCTCAGAGTGCGCCGTGACGTTGAAGAGAAGGCGGAGAAGTATGTAATGCTTCTCCTGTTTGATATATCCTCCGCCTTCGATAGCGTTTGGTGGCCGAGTGTACTCCAGCAGTTGCAAAAGTATGAAGCTCCCAGCAACCTGTACGACCTCTTAAGAAGCTATCTAGAAGACCGTAAATTAATGATAAAAGGTAACTTCTTTGCTGTAGAGGATTCTGTAGAAAGAGGATGCCCACAAGGGTCTGTACTAGGTCCAGCCTTGTGGAAACTGGTATTTGACGAGCTGCTGGGAGTACTGGAAGAGCAGCGGTTCCCCGCCACTGCTTACGTAGACGATCTCGCAGTCGTGGTGGCATCGAACAGCAGAGCCAGATTAAAGGAAGAGGCTGAACGGTGCGCCAACCTTGTAGGAGAATGGTGCGAGAGAAAGAAGATGAAGATGGCGGCTTCAAAGACTCAGTCCGTTCTTTTGAGGGGTAAGACTGACAGGGCCCACCCTATCACTCTGAATATACAGAGAGAAACGATACGTCCAAGTGAGGCGGTCACCTATCTTGGGATAAGGACTGGAAGAAAGTTTAACTTCACCCCTCACTTGGACTATCTGAGAAGTAGAGTGGCCCTGGCTCTTAATGGACTGAGTCGCATCGGGGGCGCCTTTTGGGGTCTCAGATACC